GGCGCCAGCCCGGCCCCGGGACACGTGCGGCGCCGCCGGAAACCGAGCTCGGGCGCCGCCTCCCCGGCCCGCGCGGGAGGGCTTTGTTATTCCGGGGCCTGTGAGCGGCACCAAGGAGCTGTGTTAAAGCAGCCGCTGCCGTGTTAGAGATCCCGTGCGCGGGGCAGCCCCCCGGCCGGCCGGCCTGGGCTCTGAAGTGCTGCAAAGAGCAACCGGGGTCTCCACCAGAGGTAGCTGAACGCCAGCACCGCCCCCGCGGAACGGGGAGTCCGTGAAGCCCCGCTGTGTTCCCAGCAAGCTGCGGTGGTCTCAAGTTGCAGCAAGGGAAGCTGGAGCTAGATATTAGGAGAGACTTTCTCACTAGGAGGGTAGTAAAACACTGGGTAGTAAACACTGGTAGTTAAACACTGGGACAGGTTACCCAGGCAAGTTGGCCACTCTCCCTCCTTGGAGGTTTTTAAGACCAGGGTGAACAAAGCCTTGGCTGGGATGATGTAGTTGGGGCTGGTCCTGCTTGGAGCAGGGGTCGGGCTAGATGTGACCCCCTGAGGTCTCTTCCTACCCTCATTTTCTATGATTCTGTGACACAAAATAATGGCTATTTTGATAAAAAAAAGATTTTGTGAAAGTAATCAGCTCCTGTCATTCCTTATGCCAGTTCCCTGCCCCTGCTTATCCCTGACATCTGTCAGCAGAGGGAGGTCCTTGCCTGTGCTTACCTTGAATGCACCAGGCTCCACCACCTCCTTACGGCACTCCTCCTGAGGCTTTACCTGCACATCTCTCTGCACCTTTCATGCGCTCCCCATCCCGGGCCTGGGGCCTTCTGGTCAATCTTCTCCTGGCTCCTTCCTGGGCTGGTAGATGGCCAAACTTGCCATCTACCAGCCCAGGAGGAGATTCTGGCCAGGAGGAATCCAAGCACTGGAGCCATTTTCCTGTCACTCTGCACATGTCTCTGGGCAGAGTTTCACTGACTGGCATCCAGTCTCCTTGGAATCGTTCAAGGGGCAATGGGCACTGGCAGGAGTTCTTTGCTTGGTGTCTCCACTCAATTCCCTTCATATGAAACTGTGACCATCCCAGTCACACCCGTTTTCATTTTTGTTGTTCCAAGTACTCAATTGTTATGTATCTAGTGGCCTCCCCAACTGAGGGATGCTCATAGCTCTCTTAGCAGGCCTAGGTCCACTGTTCTCTATGTACATAAAAATAGGCCGCTACCTCTGCTTAGCACAAATGCTTCACTATTTTCTGCAGACAAGCTTCTTTGGGCAAAGGTGATATCTTTTATTAGACCAACTAAATCATTGGAAAAATTGTTCTTTACAAGCTTTCGGGCCCAAACCCTCTTCTTTAGGCATAGGGAGAGTCTGCTGTTTGTGTGCTCTCCAGGGTGGAATAGAAGCTTGAGCCAATATGCAGGTCTGTGAAAATGCAAATCTGTGGTAGCAAAGATCACAGGGGATGCCAGTTCATAGGTGCAAGACAGGTGGGGAGGGGGAGGGGTGTGTGGAAAGGAGGAATGTTAACTTGGGGACAGAATGTAGCTGATAAAAATGTAGAGAGGTTACCTGGAGTTATCAGATGGCAGGCAGGTTATATATATATAACTTAGTCCATGATTTTTTGTATCCAGTAGATTTATAAAGTGAAGTTCGTAGGCTCGTCTATGAAAGGTGTTCTGCAAATTCCCTTTGAGGATTAGAATTGAGAGATTGGAGAAAAAGTGGTTGTCTTTTGAGAAATGTGACCCCACAGGTAACTGGGTATTTCTGTCTTTGATAGATTTTCGGTGTGCATTCATTCTGGTACACAGTTGTTGTTTGGTTTCTCCTACGTATTTTCATCAGGGCAGTCAGTGCATTGGACGAGATGTTTTATGTTTCTGGAGGTGCAGGGGTAAGATCCAGGAATGGTGATGGTTCTGTTGTGGGGTGTAGTTATTGTGGGAGGGCTGGAGATGCATTGGCAGGTTTTACATTTCTTGTCTAGGCATGGTCTGCATCCATTTGGTGTGCTTTGGGCCATAGACGTTTGCTTCAGGTGATGAGGTTGGTGAGGTTCGATGTCTGTTTAAAGGCTAGGATGGGTGGTTCTGGAAATATCTTTTTAAGAGTTGGGTCTTCTTCTGGTATGGGTTGCAATTGTTCAAGGATTTTCCATATCCCCATCCATGGAAGGATGGTGTGCAGGGGCAACGTGTAGGGGGTGCACGCGCAACGTGTAGGGGGTGCACGCAGGTGCATGTGCACCCCCTGCGCATGGTGGTGCACCCCCAGGTGATCCATGATCGCCCCTGGCCACTGCCAACACTGCCGGCGGTGCCTGTGGGTGGTCACCAACCCATGGTTGGCACTTGCCACCCCCCCTGACAGTGCTGGTGGCATCAGCGGGAGTTCCCTGCTCACTGCCGCCACGCTCCCACATCTGCCAGCGCAGCTGTGCCCCTTCAGCCGCCAGGGGCACACACTGTTCATGATGGTATGTCATAACTAACGGTGTGTGGCTATATGCAGCTATAACCAACACCCCTGAAACATGGAAAATATCACTATTTTTTTACACAAAACCCATGACATCCAACAGCTAACAGGGAGCAAGAAGAGTGAGGAGGTAAACACACTGTTTATTTTACGGATTTCCCCTCCTCCCCCCTGTATTTAATTGTTGTACCCTTACATAAATACCTAGCAAAACAGTGGGCAAGAAAGATACAAGAGAAGAGACTTTTAATAAGTGAAGTGGCTAGATGCATGCTTTTAAAGGAATCTAGTCCTTTTGGAAAATACGTATATAAACACACATTGTCAAGGGACTTAAAAAAATCTCTTAAGGACACATTTACAATATGCTAAAGATACAGATCGTAAATCTTTCTCTTGACTTATAATCACAGTGACGTGTTAAAGTACTCTGATTTTTTTTCAGGTGGGTATTACTGATGACATTTTTAAAAGTGTTGGAGAAAGTGGCACGATCCACATCTGTGAACTCTTCATGTGCAGTCCAACCATCTCCTCATTAGACTGTAAACACTGTGGGACCATCTTTTTGTGTTGCATTTGTACAGTGCCCAGCATAGTCAGGTTCTGGTCAGTCAGCAGGACTCCTAGATGCAAAAATAAATAAATTTAAAAAAATTACAATGAAATCAATATTATATTAATTTCTCAAAGTAGGGCTTATTAATAACAACATCTACTTCCATACGGTAACAGGGCAGGCAACAGTTTGTCACAAGCATATTGCAATCAGATCAAAAAAATGCCACTAGCAGTTGCTTGTTTGTTTGTTTTGTGCCTGTCCATTTTGTGAAAAATAAGGAAAATAAATAATTTTAAAAAGTATATAGCATATGAACAAATCAGATCCTACCCCTTTGCATTATGGATGGTGCTTTGCAAGTATTAGTGAAGCCTCCCTATATCCCTATTAGCTTGACAGTCCGTCTCCATTTTACAGATGTCAAAACAGAGACATTAGACTTTATGGCCAGATCCTGAGGAGGTCAACAAATACATCCTCCCGTGAGCAAAGGTCGCCCAAGGTCACAGGAGTCCAGGACGGAGCCCAGAGAAGGCTCCCGCTTTCTTTCCTTCTCAGCGTTTGTGAAAGGCTGCAGCACCCACAGCCCCCGGCAGCGCTCCCCACGTCTCCGGGCACCCAGGCCCCGCCCGCTCCTGCGGTACGTCATCCCTTCTGCCCGGGGGCCACCAGAGATGGGCGGTTTGCCACGCGACTCCGCTGTGCCAGCGGGGCAATCGCTGCCGGCTCCCCTCGCTCAGGGGACGCTGGCCGTGAAGGGAGGGAGCGGCGCACGCAGAGCCCCGGGGGGCGGGGCCCGAGGGACAGGGCAGGGCGGGCGGGAGCTGCAGCGTGCGGCCGGGGCGCGTTGCCGGGCAACGGACGGCCGCGGCTGGGGGACCCTGCTCCAGGGCGGGGGTGGCCCCGGCCCGGCCCGGCCCGGCCCCTGTCTCCGGCTCAGCGAGTCCAGGGGCCTCTGCCCGGGGCGGGAGTCCTGCCCTGCTCACACGCAAGCGCTGGCCTGGCCTGGGGCGGCAGAGGCTGACCCGCGAGCATCCCCGCCGGGCCCGGGGTGTCACACTCACCTGTCTGCGTGGGGGGCGCGAGCAGGAGTCGCCACCTCTCGTACAGTCGCAGCCGCGTATTTAGTAGATGTCCCAGACGTTAGGGCCAAAAGGGACCTCGCAACATCGTCGGGCCCAGCCCACCCCGCCTAAAGGGCGGGAAGTCAGCTGGCGTCACCCCGCTGCCAAGTTTCTGGCGAGCAGGATGACAGGAGTCCGCCGGCCCGCGCCTCGGACACCCCTGCACTAAGCCCCATTGGTAGTCAAGCTGTACCCGAGGGTGAGCGGTGCCGGCCCCTATACAGCCCTGACTTGAAACTCGCTATAAAACTGCCGTCAACCTGGACACAAGACCTTGCATCCTACCTTGCCAGAAGTAAAGCAGGGGGACCACGGCAGCCAGCATCCTGCTTCTGTCAGGCTGAGTACAGACTTCTGTGGAGGTTAAATCGGATTCAAAATGGCCACCCGATTTAACCTGGGTTCGTCCCGGTGCCGGCCTGGTGACTGGCAATCAGTCTGAACCGAGACTGCACACAAACTAGTCTAACAACTGCAGAGCCTGGTTTACGATAAGCCTGGATCTACGTAGTATCAAACTTGTTCGATTTAGGTCAAACCAGCGCATGGAACTTGTGTACGCTTTCCCTGCACGGCCCGGGCCTGCGGGCCCCCAGCCCTGGGGCTGCTCTTTTCACACCCCTCCCCCACCCTTGCACTGGGCTATTTTTTGCCCTCCTGGCCCCTTGTTTCCCACTCCACCCACCAGCCATTCCTCTCAACCCCCATCCCACAGCCATGCCAGGTATAGCTGCTTTTAGCAGTGTTTGCTGCTATCAGAGCCAAGCAAGTAAGTTCTGGTGGGGGGAGGGGATGGAGGGATGGAGGTGTAGGTTCGCTGGGGGGAATCAGGGGACTAAAAGCCCAATCCCCCTAAATCCCCCTATGAACCCCGCCGTAGGAGACGCTTAGGGAGGGCATGGGGTGGGCAGTAGGGAGGACTGAAATTGGCCGTCGGCGGCGTCTGTGGGCTGTCGCTGCTCACCAACTGCTGCCGGCTTCTGTGGGCAGTCGCTGCTCATCAATCGCCCCCCCTCACCACCGCTGCCGCCAGCAGCGTCTGCAACTGGTCCCCGCTCGATGCTCGCCATCCCCCTTCCGCCGACACTGCCGCTGGCATCTGCGGGCACTCCCTGCTTGCCGCTTGCTGCCAACTACAAATGGTGCCTCCCCAGTTTCAGGAGGCACCAGTCGTTCATGAACCCCACAACCTCCCTGATCTCTCCAGACACTTCCGGACCCCAGCAAAACCCTGTGGCTTGTGCCTGCCTCCTCCCTACCCACGGGTCATGCCCTGGCCTCTCACCCCTTGAGGGTTGCACCTGTCCCCTCCACCTCACCTGCAGCTTGTGTCTGCCCCCTCCACCCCTCATGGGTTGCACCTCCCCCCCATTCCCCAGTGGACTCCTGATCCTCCTGAGTGTGTTGGAGCCCCAACCCCCATTGGCCCCCCATCCTGACTTACCCAATATCAGGCAGTCATTTTGAACTGATTTAACTTCCCCAAACGTCTGTACTTAGCCTAAAAGATTGTTACTGGACACTCAAAAGATTCCAGGAAGAGGCCCCACCTCCCCTGCCGCCACCAGAGGAAGGTAAAACTTCCCACAGTTGCTACCAAGGTGTCTAT